TATTCATATAAAAATTATTCGGATTAAATATGTTTTTAGTCCCTCAAATTTAAGACAAATTTGTTTTTGGTCCTTTAAATTTAAAATTGTTGTTTTTAGTCCCTATAATTTTCAAAAATATTGTTTTAGTCCCTTAAGTCACTAATAACATATTTGAAAGTGACTAATTATGATAGTTATGCAATATCAACTGGATTTAATGTGATATTTTCACTAATAGGGACATGAATAAGTAAATTTTATGCAATAATATTTGATAAATTTCTTAACAAAATTTGAATATAAGGACTAAAATAAGATTTTTTGAAATTACAAGGACTAAAAATAACAATTTTAAATTTGAGGGACCAAAAATAGATTTACCCTAAATTTGAGGGACTAAAAACATATTTAAACCTTAATTATTCTCTATATATTGCATAGTTAAAATATTAGTTATTTGATAAATTAATATTTAAAAATAAATTTATTAGTTCTAATGATTACATTTGTAGTCGTTAATTAAGTATATAACAAACTATTAGAAATATTTTATAATCAGTTGCTTTATTTTTTAATTATATAAAAAATATATTTATTGTGTAATATAATTTTTAAAAATATTATGTTATACAAAAAAGTTAAAATTTTAATTAACGTAAAAGAATTGTATAATATATTATGATAAAAAATAATAATGAAAAATTAAATTACCCACATTAATATTATTTTCTATATTTTATATTTATCAAACTAATATAAAGAAAAATTAATCACGTTAATCATCACATTAAATTACTCACATAAATGTTATTTTATATTTTAAATTTAATAATTTAATAATTTAATTAAATTGATCAGCCCAATTTGAATCAAATATTCATCTTAATAATGAAGGGATTATGATTCCAACATAATTACAAAATATGTTTCGTATTACTTTCATACCCAATTTTGATAAAGTAATAAATTTTTAAGTTCCGAGATCAACAGCTATGAAGAAAATTTTATTATAATATATAAATGTGATTTATTGTTTCGTGTATGTTTTTTTATCACATTTTAAGAACATTAAACATTACTGTTCAGACCAAAAATCCTCACAAAAATGCTAGTAAAATTCTTATTGTAACTTGTAAGTCACTCTGGTTGATAACTTCCTGTGTTAATTTTACAATGAACTAGGAGACTCAAAATTTTTAAACGTCAATTTTTAATGGGAAGATTAGATACTCACGGTAGAGATGGGAATAAGAAAAAGAGGTGATTTAGTTCCCTATGTCATAGATCAATTATCTTATAAGCATATCATAATCGATATGGGTTTTGTCTCTATAAACAAGGAGTATTGTTTTAGAAGATATATCTAAAATCACATCATGCTACAAATATTTTCTGTCATTTAATTTTTCATTATAATTTTAGCAGTTCAGTTCCCTTGATTAAATAGGAAGACAAAAAATATGAAGTACTATTGTTTCTCTCTTTCGTTCTCTTATAGGATATTTAGGGGCTTCTTCATGGAATGACTCGTGTTGTGTGCTTCTATTTATTTATTTATTTATTTATTGTAGTTGCATTTAACCGGTTAGTTCAGCTAAATTGTGTTCTTGTGTTTGACATCGTTAGATGACAAAACACATGTGATATGACAATTTATGTCTCCCAGTTGCTTCAAAATTAGGCAACTGGATGCATTATGTAATAAATGTTATTGAAATTTGTAAATTGCATACTATTTTATCTGAAATATGAGTTTGTCAACAGGTGGGTGTTTTTTTCTAGGTCGCTTGGTATTATTAGCAACAATTTTTTCTTGATCTCTTGGTGTAAATAATAGTTTGATCTATATTCCCATAATACCCAATTAATAGATATGGTTTGCAAGGCTTGTTGTTTTACCCTTGCTGGATTTCATTGGGTAAGACTTAAGTCTAGAACTTACAGGAAGTGCAAATTTAATATATATTTTAAAATATTATGACATGTAATTCTTAATCGGTCATTATGTTCGATTTTCAGTTGCTCTTGTGCGCCTTTTCTCTCCTAGTGGCACTTTATATAAGGAAGAGGCTGGTATGAGGCAAACGTTTAGGACTGTTGGTGTAAATGTTAGGGAACGAATAAAAATGTATGAAATGTTGGTGCCATTCTCAAAAGTAATTTCATTACCTCATTTGTTTTCGTTTCATCTCACAAATACAATATTATCCAAGCCAACATAAGTTACTAGGTTGCGAGATTGTTTATTTATTTATTTTCTTTTTTAGTATTTTTTCATTGAATTAGAGACCAATCTCATATCATAGTCCTGTGATTATTATTGGTTTGATAAATTTTCACTCTAATAAAAATAAATACAAATTATTCATTAAATATTTTACTTTTTCAACATATAAACATAATATATTTAATCATTACATCGATCCATCAAACTACTTAATTACCTATTTAACAAACCTTAATTTATTTAATGATACTTACAAGAGAATATTATTTCATTACTTGTAAATCTGATTAATATTATGTGTATTATGTACGGAAATAGATTCTCTCAATTGTGACTTTCACGTAATTCTTCTCACCATCAAAAATCTATTTTTTTTCCCATCCTTTTTGTTATTTAAATTGTCTTGAAACGAATGCCAAGTATGCAATGGGTTTGAACTTTGAAACAACGCAGATGATAAATACACCTTCACTCTCGTATAAACACACTTTTTTTTTTTAATATATATTAAATGTCTAAATTATTCTTTAAAAAAAATGAAATTCCTAAACTTACACTCCCCTTCCCCGCATCCCCTTTCCCCGCACCCCACACTCCACACCCCTCTTCTTCCCAAAGTCTCTTTCCGCTCAATGTCATTAAGCAATATACTTTTACAGTCATTCTGAATAGAAAAAAAGGACTAGCCCCACCATAACCAGCATAAAAAAGGTTCTTTTACGGTCATTAACATTCCGGAAAGTACTTTTACAGTCATTAGATAGTAAAATTATTGTTCATATAATTCCAGAAAGAACTTTCCGTAATAGTAACTTTAATATTATGGAAAGTACTTTCCGGAATCATGTAACAAAACATTTCCGGAAAATACTTTCCAGAATAAGAATTTAATATTATGGAAAGTATTTTCCGGAACATTTTTATATAATTCTGGAAAGAACTTTCCGTAACAGTAAGAAAAAGAAGAAGATGAGTACCAGAAAGAGAAAGAAAAGGGGTGTGCGAGGTGCGGGAAAAAAAGAAGAAGAAGAAGAGTGCCAGAAAGAGAAAGAAGAGGGGTGCGCAATGTCTTACTTGTTATATGGAAAGACACACTAGTACAAAAATGACTTTTAAAATTGGAGTTTTAAAATCAGTCATAAGGTAGCCATTTTAAAAGTGACGCGGTGGCCTGTACTGCAACAGAACGGCCCCAGAACGGCCCGTGCTGCAAGTAGAACGGCCCGTTCTGGTGCCGTTCTGTGAGGGGAAGGGGGGTGCGGGGAAAGGAGGTGTAAATTTAGGAATTTCATTTTTTTTAAAGGGTAATTTAGATATTTTATATTTTAAAAAAAAAAAAGGAGTGTGTTTATACGAGAATGGATGTGTATTTATCATCTGTCTTGAAACAAATGCCTAGTATGCTATGGGTTTGGATCCATGTTTATTTAGTTTGAAAGCCCATTATGCTATGGGCCTGGATCCATGTTTATTTAGTTTAAATTGTCTTATTTAAAATGAATGGTATGAAATGAGTTTGAAAAAAAATGTCTCATATAGTCATATTATATGATTTTCTTTATCATCGGAATACCAAGAGTTAAATTTTACGACGTTGTGGATACTATTTTAATTTCACTAAGAAAAAAAAATCATACTACTCCAACCCCACTAAAATAATAGTCAGTTGTACATTAATAGTATGTTGATAAAATAGTAAATAACTGGTCTATCTCTTTTTATACAGTATATTTGATACCATCAAAATATCAAAGAAATAGAAGAGAGAACCATGAAATAAATAAAAAATAAAAAACACAGCATGTTTGATATCGAATAAATGCTTGAGTGAAGAAATAAAAAGAAGTGTGGATTTCACACTTTTTATTTCTTCAGAAATCGGTGTGAAAATGAACAACATGTGTTTGAAATTCACTCATAATAGATTAGCAAATTATTGTAAATTGATTAAATGGTTTTTCAATGCTTAAATTTGTAAATTTTTTTTATTTAATCGATTAAATTTACTTTAAAAATACTATTTTGAAAAGTTGAACGTTATATTGATTTTTTTTTAAACGATTGAAACTTTTATAATTTTTTTTAATGGATTATATACTTTAGATTTATTTATTTTCTTTAAGTTTATTATTTTACTCACTTTTAATTTGCTAAAAAAATTTACTTTAGAATTATTTACTTGCTTTTAATTAATTATTTATTTTACTTTAAAAGATTATAATAGTTTTTTTTACTTATATAACTTTTTATTTAATTTATTAAAACAAAAAAAAAAGTGATCAAAAATTTTTTAAGAAAAATTTTCCATTTCTTTCTTCTTCTTTTTTCTTGTTTTTGACTCTAATTTTATTTATTTATTAATTTTTCTTTTAACTTATTTCTTTCCATCTTATCAAATATATAAAAATATTTTTTATCCTCTATTTTTTAATATTTTTAAATTAAAAAACTAAATTTTCATTTCATTTTTTTATATATATTTTTACTTTCTTATTTCTCTCTTCTTTATTTTTCTTAACTCTATTTCTTTTTTTCTCAAACAAACACATGTAATGAATTATCCCAAACAGGCAAAAGTTTCTTTTATTTCAACAAATAAAATTACTATTAATATAACCGAATAATTTATGAAGAGAAAAATTAAATTAATAATAACTAATATTATTTGTTTTGAGATATTTGCTAAAATTACTTATTTTGACGGAAGGAATACAAAAATTAAAGTACTTAAATTTCTTCTTCTAGTGCTCATGCTCACCACCGAGAATCCATACAACGCCTAAAAGAGGTTGTTGCAACGCATTTGGTCACACGTTAAAAACGTGATTTTAAGCGGGTTTACTAAACCCACTCTCTCTGTGCCAGCTTTTTGATATCGGACGTGATTAAATGTGTTTGGAAACGTATTTCCAAACACACTGTTACCCATCGTGAGGCCTGCGTTTGGTGGGAGGGAATATTCTGCTTCCCCTTCCTTCCTTCCCTCCCCCGCAGACACCAAACATGGCATTCAAACTCTCATCAATTCCTCTTCCCACTTCTCTCCAATCCTCTCCCCGCCAAAACCCTAATTCCACATTTCCAAACCATCGTCTTCCTCTCCGTTCCCTTTCACCTTCTCTTTCTCCCTCTCTCCGCCTCTCAAGCGCAGCCACAGCGTCCGCATTTCACCACACTCGCTTCGTAACCGCTCGCGCGATTCCAAGCCACGGCGAAGGCCAATTCAGCGACGCTTTCGAAGAAGAAGACAGAGACGAAGAAGCATCGAGGCAGGGTGAGAAGAAGGAACTCGCGAAGCATAGCATATGGAGTCAGATAAAGGAAATTGTCATGTTTACTGGACCAGCAACCGGACTTTGGATTTGTGGACCACTCATGAGTCTCATCGACACTGCAGTTATCGGTCAGCGAAGCTCAATAGAGCTTGCTGCTTTAGGCATGCCATCGACAGTGATAAATTGTCACTTATATGCCTCACATTGTTTGGTTTTCTTTTAATTATGGAAATGTCGTAGTTATGTTATTTTAATTTCCCATGAGCAGGTCCTGCTACAGTTGTTTGTGATTACATGTGCTACGTGTTCATGTTTCTGTCAATCGCTACTTCCAATATGGTTGCTACTGCCCTTGCTAAACAGGTTGGTTGCCAATTTTTGATTGGGTTTTGGATGCTTAATGAGATGCATGTCTTCTGACGAAAAATTGATGCACGAGGCACACCAGATCCAGATTTGACTCCGTTGATGTTATGTTAGTAAGTGTGATGAGTGAAGTCAAGTTACACTGATGTGTCACAAGCTAGACTGTTGCTCCCTGGTTTTGCATTTTTCTTCACAAATGTTATAACTAGTGTGTTTGATAAGACATTTGAGGAGCTTATAAGTTCATTTGACTAGCTTATAAGTTAGTTTGATCAAAATAAGCTGATTTGGTACAAAAGCTTATTTTAAGAACTTATGGCTTATTTAATAAGTCAACTGACCTAGTTTATAGCTTATAAATTCTTAATTTAAAAACCTTTTTGCCTACCGTGATTTCCCGTTCTCATTATAAAATCTTTTTATGTCATTCTACATTTATTAGCTAATTTATCTAAACACTTTTGATTCAATCAGATAGCTTATAATTTTACAGTTTTTCAGCTCCTAGTTTATAAGCTAGTTTATACCAAACACACCCAACATGTTCAATCCTATATATAACTTGAACGCGAGGACAACACAGTATTATATCATTTATTGGCAAAAAACGAGCCAGCCAGATTGGTTGGTATATGTTGGTCATTAGGAACTTAAAATCTACATGCTACAGCTTAGCGTTCAATGTTGCAATATTTAAGTATGTGGTGATGCAATGATTTATATGTTATTATTTGGTTTGACTAAATCTACACGATTGTGTAGGCTTCAATCTGCATATTCACCACTTTGTGCACTTTCAGGACTTATACTGCTCTTTCGCGAGTTTGTGTAGGACAAAGGAGAAGTACAACATCACATATCTGTCTTGCTTTTTGTTGGGTTGTCTTGTGGCATTGCAATGCTTTTGTTCACAAGGCTATTTGGTGCTGCAACAGTGTCTGGTATTGAAAATGGAGTGCTTTAGTCGTTTTTTCTCCTCAACACATTTTGGATAACAAGAACTGACTTGTGCTGAAAGGGTAGCAGAACCAATCATATAACTGATAACTTTGCTATTTATGCCTTTTCAGCATTCATTGGGCCAAAGAATGTACACGTAGTACCTGCAGCTAGCAATTATGTAAAGGTTCGTTTCTACATCATTTTATATCCTTTGCTTTAAATAAAGACTGCAAATCATGCTTGATAAATTCAAGAAGTTAGAGAATATTTTATGGAGAGAAGTAATTTATGCTTTCATCAATTTTTGTTTTCTTGTGATTATGGATGAAGGCATTAAAGAATCTAGAAAATAAGAATTTTCTTTATGTTTCTTAATTTTTTTAAAAATGATAAGCGAGCAATGGTTCTCCGCATAATTTGCTGTGGGTGATTCTCAGTTACAATTTTTTTTTTTTTTTTTTAGATTCGAGGCTTGGCATGTCCTGCTTTACTTGTTGGATGGGTTGCTCAGAGTGCAAGGTGCAAATATGTTATTTATTTCTTATATCTGATTCTCTGAAGAGGTTGGAAGTTTTTTATGTCAAATCTAAGATACTAAGATACTGCTCGAGTCTTGACATTCTCTTACAGTATTACATAATAGCAATTGATATCATGTTGAAATATTGTTCAATATAACTGAAGATTTTCTCTAGATATTTTGTTGAAAACTCTTGGCCAAAATTCCTTTGCTTTGACATTTCTGAAATAGCATCTCATTATATGGATTCATGGAATATATCTTGTCTTTTTCTTATATGATAAACAAAGTATGTATTGTCGGTTTTCTGGTTTTACTTCCTTTAGGAGAAAAAAAAAACTGTGCAAACAACATTTTTTAAGTTGCTCTTACAATTTACAGAGCTTAATATAATGCCAAGTATCAATGTTTGCTTTGTATGATTTGAAAAAAATGGTAAGCATTGGCCTATTAAGTTAATTTATTGTTTTGGTATTCACATTCTGCAGTCTCGGTATGAAAGATTCCTGGGGACCCTTGAAAGCTCTGGCTGCTGCTAGTTTTATAAATGTCATTGGTTGTATACTTCTGTGCATCTATTTAGGCTATGGAATTGTAGGAGCTGCGTGGGCTACAATGGTTTCACAAGTATGCTGAACTAACTCTTATGCATCATAATACATTGAATTGTATTGTATATGGTTCTACCTATTCCCAAAGTACTGAACTCATTATATACTGCCTTATTCTTCCCTTACTGCTTCTAGGTTGTTGCTGCTTACATGATGATTCAAACACTAAACATGAAGGGATATAATGCACTTGCCTTCTCCATTCCTTCACGGAAGGAACTTCTGACAATATTTGGGCTTGCTGCTCCTGTATTTATGACAATGATGTCAAAGGTTGTCCCAAGTATTATACTAGATCTGTAGCTTTGTCTGGAGTAATCTAACCTTTTAATGTAATCTGAAGTTCTGATGTTTAGGTGGCTTTCTACTCACTGCTTATATATTTTGCTACATCAATGGGCACACATACAATGGCTGCTCATCAAGTTAGTTATATTTCTGTCTCCTGTTTTGTGACTATTCCTTCCTTTGGCTGCTATCTGGGTTTTTCTGAAAACCAAATTCAAGGCCAGTGATAACTTGATTCTTTCTTCAGGTCATGGTCCAAACCTTTTGTATGTGTACAGTATGGGGTGAACCTCTCTCCCAAACTGCTCAATCATTTATGCCTGAATTAATGTATGGAGTGAATCGGAATTTGTCAAAGGTTAGTGTTTCTCATTTATAATGTCACAAAGCATACTCTGATGTCCAATCCTCATCTCTGGTTTCTGATCTCTCTTGTGCCTAGTTTACATTCAAGTTATTGTTTTAAAAGAGGGTAATTTTTTCTTTTAGTTGGCAATGATAGTTTTATGAAATGACAAAATGTTATCGCAACTTATGAATGCTGTTTTATAAAAAGATATTCAATTCTGGTTTCTCAATCCTTCATTTTTGAATTTTCATAATATCAACAGGCCCGGTTGCTTCTAAGGTCTCTTGTGATAATCGGAGCTATACTGGGATTATTGTTAGGGATTGTTGGAACATCAATTCCTTGGTTATTTCCCTACATTTATACTTGGATTATTGTTAGGGACTGTTGGAACATCAGTTCCTTGGTTATTTCCCTACATTTTTACACCTGATCGGATGGTCATCCAGGAGGTCGGTTGATTCTGTTTAAAAATTTAGATTACGTATTTGTGTTGTCTCCCCTTTCACTTTTAATTTTTTTGCAACTTGTTTTAAAATAAGTGGTGGCATTATTAATCATTAGAAGTTTAACCACTATTTTTCCCTCTGGCTTTTTTGTACCCGAGAGTTTATTATTTTAAATCATAATTTGTGTAATAATGTTTTTAAAGCCAGATTAGTCGTTAACTTAAAACGATAAAGATACTTATGTTTATGGGTTTGACTGTGGTAGAATTAATTTTAATTATACACGCGCACATGCACTAAGTAATAATCAAATATAAAATTTTAAGAAATTAAGTTTGGTTACATTTTAAAATAACATACAGGACCATATTATGTGTCTTGCAATGTTAAAAATTAATAGTAAGAGTTGAATTAATAAATAAATTTAAGTTACATAAATACTATTAGTAAAGTAACTATAATTTCAATTTGATTTAAAACATTCTATTATAAATATTTTGTGAAATAAGCAACCACAGGTGACAGAGCCGTAGTGGCAAGCAGCCTGGTGATGGTTGATGAAGCTAGAGGTATCAAGTTTGGATCCTGGGGTTGGATGATTTACATTTTTTTTTTGGGAAGAAGATCGAACCAGTAAAGAACTAAGCAGGCCAGTTCACACAATTCTTAACTAGTTTGAATTATCAATTTTGTAAAATGATTGATGCGGCAAACTGGATACAGAACAAATTCCCCATTGAACTGGTCGGATAAGCTGATACGCAACAGATAAAACAAATGGGAATGCAGAGATTTTTATGAATTATACTAATATTTTTTAATTTAGGCAGTAGATAACTGTTAACTATTGTATTTGTAATGATGCAGATGCATAAGGTGCTGATTCCATACTTTATAGCCCTGGCTATAACTCCCCCTGCTATCAGCCTTGAGGGAACGTTGCTGGTATGTTCATTTCATCTTCTATATAAATGGGAAAGTGAGCATATAAAACTATTATTTCTTCTCCTGTACTTACACTTCTAGGGTGGGTGAAATAGAACTTGGGCTGTGTTATGGTTTAAACAACTTGGTTAAATGTGTATTCTATAAGCTCTTGTCACATGAGAACTTATCTCGTAAATTTGACCATAAAACTTCTTGGTGAAGTATATTGAAATAAGCTTAAAGGAACTTACAAGAATTATAATCTATTTTCTAAGTCGAATAAACTCCTAATAAGTTGTTCCAAACACCCCCTTTATCCACTTTATCCATGGAATTGCTCGTTACTCCTACTTTGTGTTTCATTAACTTTCCCAAGCTCAACTAAATTCTGTTGTTTGAACATTAACTAAATTAAAACAATATTATGATATTATTCAATCATAATGGTAACTAATTCTTAATTTGATGATTTAAATTTATCCCCAACGTTACAACTCATTCAAAATAGGAACCTGCATGTGTCACATAACTGCTAGTGTAACTTTGATGTATCTCTACTCATGCAGGCTGGACGGGATCTGAAATATATAAGTTTGTCAATGAGCGGATGCTTTTGTGTGGGTTCACTAGTATTATGGGTAATAATGACCTTTCCTTGAACTCCTGGCACACCTAGTAGTGTGTTTCTGAATTCATGGCGAGTTGAACTCCCCATGATTATTGGAAGTAACAAATAGATAAAATCATGATAAAGTCACCGCAAAAGCAACTATTTCCTGCTTCCAAAAATCATAGTGAATTCAACTCGCAATCAATCCAAACACACGTTATATTGTTTAACCAATTTCGACTGAAGCACTAATTTTTTGTGATGCCCAGATCTTGAGTAGTAGATACGGTTTGCTAGGCTGCTGGTTTTCCCTCGCAATATTTCAATGGGTAAGAATAAGACCTAGAGCTTTTAGTAAGTTACGGTATTAGTTCATAAAGTAATCTGATTTGCAATTCTTTTATGATTGTTAGGCTCGGTTTGCAATGGCCCTCCAGCGCCTTCTTTCTCCGAAGGGCATTTTATACTCGGAAGATACTGACCAGTACAAGGTGCTAAAGCTAAGGACTGCCTAGTATGTGACCTAGGTTTTATATTTATAGTTCATCACACCCGTGAATCCGTGATAAGGATAGAAGATAGTCCGGCCACCTCAATCCATAGCCATAGGTAAAGTGAGCTAGACCAAATCGTATTATTTGACCTGATAATGTTTCCCGATAAGGTCAAATAATGTTGTCTGGTAATAAATGAACATAGGAGTGACTAGTGAGGTCTATTTTTCATGCGCTGGAGTTAAGATTGTTGATGTAACATTCATCTATTGTTATTGGAGAACATTAAAATTTATATTATAATTTTTTTAGCAATTGCGGAATTTAATTAAAATCTTAACATAAATTTGTATTTCAATTTCAAGAGTACAATACAAAAATATTAAATTACTTATCTTTCTTTGTTAATCAAGATCATTACTAATAATTTTTTAACAACAAAATTATAATACTCCTTAAAGAATCACGAGACAAATACTAATAGTCGTTTAATAATAATAAAATTATATTATAACAAAGTCTTTTGATACACACCAAGTTATAAATTAAGTTAAAAGTAATATTTAAAAATTATTTAGGTTGGTGGGTTAATCTGTCTTGTTGACTCATTCGATATAATGAGTTGGAATGTTTAATTCAACTAATCAACTTTTGATAGGATCGTAGATTAGTCTATAGGGTGTGATTTACTTTGCCATTCCTAATCTTAATATTTAAAAATGAAATTGTTATTTTTTTGGTTACAAAATAGTAGATAGAGGATGATACTTTTGATATTATCGAGCATAAGCCAATAACATGTTAGAAATACTCTTTGAGGGGTGTTAAACTCACATTATGGAGAATGTAAATTTGGATTAAATTGTAGATCATTTATGTCAACGCATGGTTATAAATAAATTCGTTAATTAATAAGTCATTAATTTTCTAGTAATACAAAATTTATATTAATTTTGACTTTCGATAATTGTGTTCATTTAAATTTTGATTCATTGCCTTTTTTATTCATCTTTGTTCATTTAAATAAATTATTCTATAATTTTTAGGAGAAAAAACAAACAAAATAAGTTATCTTAAATTTAAATGAACTATTAGTCATTGTCTTTGACAAAATAAAAATATATTTTGTGCTAATAATAAATGATAAAAGATAAATTAAAAAAAAACTAAAATGTTAGTCAAGAAATTTAATACTAAAATTATTAAAGTATTTGAATCGATGTTAATTTATAAAATCTATAATTAATTTTATTTTTCTTTTTTAGGCTTTTGTTTTTTTAAGTGTTACAATTGTATATTTTTGTTCAACCAAATTTTAATTAAATAATTTTAATCTTCCAAATATAACAATATTAACTTTAGTTGATGTGATACTAGCATATGATAATAGATGATGTGAAACTCACAAGTGACATTGATGTTATGATATGGTGTTGATGTAGTGGATAATGCAAACACTTTTTTATAAAAATTAGAAAAAGAAAAATTTTAAATAATAAAAATAAGATTTGAATCATTTCATTCTTACTACCAACAAGAAAACTCAACTACTAAACAAATAAATTTCTTTAATATATAATCAGAAGCTATTAAATATTATTTAAATTAAATATGTAATTTAATTTAAAACTTTTTAAATATTAATTATCATGTTATATACTCAATTGTCATATTACCAATAATATAAATTTAGTCATTAATAAATAAAAATTCTACGAAGAGACTAAAATTATAAATATTATAAAATTAAAGAATTAAAATTGCATAATTAAAAATTAAATGAATAAAGGTTAAAGTTAATAATATAGCATGTATCCCTGTTAAAGAAAAATATAGATGTGTCTATCTAGAGACCAAAATTGTATTTGATTTTTTTTTCTTTTAATGTTTTTATGGAAAATCCATTCAACGCGTAAAATGGTTTCAACAATGAGTATACTATCGTGAATCCTGTATTTGGTGCGGGAGGGAACACTCCACTTAACCTGAGCTAACAGCAAACATGGCATTCAAACTCTCATCAATTCCTCTTCCCACTTCTCTCCAATTCTCTCCCCGCCAAAGCCCTAATTCCAAATGTCCAAACCATCGCCTTCCTCTCCGTTCCTTTTCACCTTCTCTTTCTCCCTCTCTCCGTTTCTCAAGCGCAGCCTCAGCGTCCACATTTCACCACACTCGCTTCGTAACCGCTCGCGCGATTCCAAGCCACGGCGAAGGCCAATTCAGCGACGCTTTCGAAGAAGAAGACAAAGGCGAAGTAGTATCGAGGCAGGGTGAGAAGAAGGAACTCGCGAATCAAAGCATATGGAGTCAGATAAAGGAAATTGTCATGTTTACTGGACCAGCAACTGGTCTATGGATTTGTGGACCGCTTATGAGTCTCATCGATACTGCAGTTATCGGTCAGAGAAGCTCAATTGAGCTTGCTGCTTTAGGTATGGCATTGAATCTTGATTGTTAGATTTTTATTTAGTTATGGAAAATATCAGTTATCTGATTTTAATTTCCTTTGAGCAGGTCCTGCTACAGTTGTTTGCGATTACATGAGCTACGTGTTCATGTTTCTATCAATTGCTACTTCCAATATGGTTGCCACTGCCCTTGCTAAACAGGTTGGTTGCAAATGTGATTGGATGCTAAATAAGATGCATCTCTTCTTACGAATATTTGATACACCAGATTCAAATCTGTGAATATTGACACCACAGATGTTCTTAGGAATATACAAGGAGTGAAGTTACTACTTACTAGGTAGGATGAACCACAAGCTTGGCTGGTGCTCGTTGGTTTTGCATTTCTCTTTGCAAATCTTACAGCATGTCTGATCCTATTCCTATATATAACTTGCACGTGAGAACTTATAACAATTATTAGCAGTAAAGACTAAGGAGCCAGCTAGATTGGTTGATATATGTCGTTTGATATAAACTTAATATCTACAGCTTAGCCTTCGGTGTTGCAGTATTTGAGTATGTGGTAATGCAATGGCCACTGCTTTATGTATGGTTTCTGGATTTGACTAAATCGGCATGATCTTGTAGACTTAAATCTGTATTTCTACCACTATGTGCACTTTCAGGACTTATACCGCTTTTTCATGAGTTTGTGTAGGACAAAGAAGAAGTACAACATCACATATCTGTCTTGCTTTTTGTTGGGTTATCTTGTGGCATTATGATGCTTTTATTCACACGGCTATTTGGTGCTTCAATTATAACTGGTATTGAAAATGTAGTGCTTTAGCCATTGTGTTGTTCAACAGATTTTGCATAAGAATTCAATTACGCTGAAAGGGTAGCAGAACCAATCTCACAACTGATGATTTTGCTATTTATGCCTTTTCAGCTTTCACTGGGCCAAAGAATGCACACATAGTACCTGCAGCTAGCACTTATGTCAAGGTTTGTTTCTACGTCATTTTATCTCCTTCAGTTTAAATTAAGACTTGAATTCATATTCTATCACTTCCAGAAGTCACAGATCATTTATTTATGGATGGAAGTAATTTATGCTTATATCAACTTATTGTTATCCTGTAATTTGTAGATGAAGGTAATAAAACTTTCATTACAAAGGGATAAAATCTTGTTAATAACTAATAATAATTTTCTTTATGAATATTAATTATTTTTTATAAAAATGATAAGCTATGGTGTTATCCTCTGTTTAATTTCTTGCAGTGATTTTTCAGTTACACTCTTTTATTATGTTAGATTCGAGGCTTGGCATGGCCTGCTTTACTTGTTGGATGGGTTGCTCAAAGTGCGAGGTGAAAATATGCTTTTTAATTTCTAACATCTGATTCTCTGAAGTGAGAGGTTATGTTAAATCTGAGATACTGCTCTTAAGTCTTGACATTCTATTTCATGTTGCAATTGATATTATGTCGATCTACTGTTCAATATAATTGAAGATTTTGTCTTGATATTTTGTTGGAAACTCTTGGCTAAAATTTCCTTACATTGACATTTTTGAGACAACAAGGTTACTTTACCTCTATATTGTCTGTTTCTTATATTTTGAACAAAGTATGTATTTTCCTCTTTCTGTTTTTACTTTCTTAAGAAAATCTATGTAAACAACTTTTTTTAGTTGCGTTTACAATTAGTTAGGAAAGCTTAATGTAATACCAAATCTCAACATTTTCTTTGTATGATATGAAAAACATGGTCAGAATTGGCTAATTAAATTAATTTATTGTTTCGGTATTCACTTTTTGCAGTCTTGGTATGAAAGATTCCTTGGGACCCTTGAAGTCTCTGGCTGCTGCTACTGTTATTAATGTCACTGGTTGTATACTTTTGTGCACCTGCTTAGGCTATGGAATTGTAGGGGCTGCGTGGGCTACAATGGTTTCTCAAGTATGCTGAGCTAACTTATGCATCATAATATATTGAATTGTTTCATTATGGTTGTACCTCTTCCCAGAGTACTCTAACTTGTTATATTCTGCTTTTCTTTTCCTTTGCTGATTCTAGGTTGTTGCTGCGTACATGATGATTCAAACTCTAAACATGAAGGGATATAATGCACTTGCCTTCTCCATTCCTTCAGGGAAGGAGCTTCTGAATATATTTGGGCTTGCTGCTCCAGTTTTTTTGACACTGATGTCAAAGGTTGTGTCAAGTATTATACATTTATACCAGACCTATAGCTTTGTCTGGAGTACCTTTTAATGTAATCCAATGTTTTAATGTTTAGGTCGCTTTCTACTCACTACTTATATATTTTGCTACATCAATGGGTACACATACAATGGCTGCTCATCAAGTTAGTTTAATTTCTGTCTCCTGTTTTGTGACTATTCCTTCCTTTGCCTGCTATTTCAGCTTTTCCTGAAAACCAAATTGAAAAGCCAGTGGTAACTTAATTCTTTCTTCAGGTCATGGTCCAAACCTACACCATGTGTACAGTATGGGGTGAACCTCTCTCCCAAACTGCCCAATCATTTATGCCTGAATTAATATATGGAGTGAATCGGAGTTTGTCAAAGGTTAGCTTTTCTCATTTACAATGACATAAAAACAACTTACTCTGATGTCCAAGGTCTCTCCACTGTCCTCACATCTCTGTTTTTTTTTTTTTTTTTCCTCTTTTGTGTCTAGTTTAGATTCATGTTATCTAAGAGGATAATTTTTTTCACTTGGGAAGGGTAGTTTTTATAAAATGATAACACGTTATCTCTACTTATCAATTGTTTTTTAAAAGGATATGTAGCTCTCGTTTCTGAATCCTTCTTTTTCACATTTTGATAATATAAACAGGCCCGATTGCTTCTTAGGTCTCTTTTGACAATCGGAGTTATACTTGGATTATTGTTAGGGACTGTTGGAACATCAGTTCCTTGGTTATTTCCCTACGTTTTTACACCTGATCGGATGGTCATTCAGGAGGTCAGTTCAATCTTTTTTAAAATTTTGATTTCATATTTGTGTTATCTCCCTTATAATTTTTAAATCCTTTGCAACTTGTTTCAAAACATGTGGTGGTATTATCAATCAAGCATTTAGAAGTTAAATCATTATTTGTTCACTGGTTTATTGTGTTCCTCGAGAGTTTATGATTTAAAATCATAATAAGTCAGGTCAATCGTTAAAATAATAAAGATACTAGTTCACAGTTTATGGGTTGACCGTGGTCAAACCAATGTTAATTTTTGTTTTACACCAACCAATGTTACTTATACACACACAACAAAAAGTAATAATTAAGTAGGAAACTTACAGAAATCACGTTTGGTTAGATTGTAAAATTACACAAGTAACCATATTATGTGTCTTGCATTATTAAAATTGGTGAAAGTTGAATTAATAAATAAGATTAAGTTACACAAATACTATTATTAAAATAAATAAATACTAAATATAATATAAAACATAATATTATTAAATAAAATAAAATAAAAAGTGAAATAAACAGCCATAATGACAAGCTTAGTGGTTTGCGTCCTGGTGGTGGAAGATTTACATTTTTGTACGTAGACGCTTAGAATAATTGAGAACTAAACTGGCCCATTCACATGATTCTAATCTTGACTGGTTTTCCAATAATCAGTTAAAGAGGGTGTACTGAACTGGTTACTAACCCGTTCCTGGTTGAATTGGTCGGACCAGCTGATACACAACTGGAAATACAAGTGGAAAGGCAACAATTTTTTAGTTATTTATAATATTTTGGAATTTAGACAAAAGATAACTGTTAACTACTGTATTCGTATCCCTGCAGATGCATAAGGTGCTGATTCCATACTTTATAGCGCTGGCTATAACTCCACCTACTCACAGCCTTGAGGGAACATTGCTGGTATGTTCATTTCATTTTCTATATAGATGGAAAAGTAATCATATAAACTACTATCTTTTTCACGCACGTACTCTTCAAGGATGTTTAAGGAATTTTAAGTGTGTATTTCTGTAAGCTCTTATGATATAGAAATTTTGTTATAAATTTGACTAAAAACTAACTGAAATAAAGTAGAAATAACTTATTTTAATAAAATTTGCCAGAAGCTTTTTGAAATAAGCTAAAAAACGTACGAAGTTATAAATTATTTGCACAAGTTCAAATACACTGCAAATAAGTTGTTCCAAACACCCCCTTTATCCATGGAATGTCTGTTAACCTCTACCTTGTCCTTGTGTTCCATTAAACTTGCTCAAACGCAACTAAATTCTGTTGTTTGAACATTAATTAAATTGAACAAGTAGTATGTTATTATTCAATCGTAATGGCAACTAATGCTTAATTTGACACAACTGCTATTGTAACAATGTATCTTTGCCAATGCAGGCTGGACGGGATCTGAGATTTATAAGTCTTTCGATGTGTGGATGCTTTTGTGTGGGTTCCCTTGTGTTATGGGTAACGACCTTTCCTTGAACTCCTGGCGTACATAGTACTACTGACCAACAAATTTTGCCTGAAATACTCATTTTTTTTGTGATGCCCAGACCTTGAGTAGTAAATACGGTTTGCTAGGCTGCTGGTTTTCCCTCGCAATATTTCAATGGGTAAAGAATAAAACCTAGAGCTTGTATTAAGTTAAAGTATTAGTTCTTGAATCATTCTGATTTGGTATTCTTTTTGTGGTTTAGGCTCGGTTTTCAATTGCCCTCCAGCGCCTTCTTTCTTCCAAGGGCATTTTATACTCGGAAGATACAGACCAGTATAAGCTGCGAAAGCTAAGGACAGCTTAGTTAGTGACCTTTGTTTTGTTTTATTTATAGAAGAATATTGTCTTTTGCTCGCAAATTAGAATTATAAAATAGGCATACATTTCTATTCAACACAGATTACATTACTTTTGCATTGCAACACAATGCACTGCAACTAAGTTGCAGCCAGTCTCGATCTTTTCTCGTGTATTTTAATGTTGTTCAGAATGCTTGTAAGCTGAACAAGAATGCAATTAAATTATTGTAGCATGCTAATGAAGAAGTCTCTAGTACCCCGAGAGAGATGTTAATTCTGTTGTTTCGACCAAAAGAATAATTTTGCAAGCAAATGTGGTTGATTAATCAAGGGATTATTATATTTGCCAATACAATATGTTCAATAGATCAAGTAATAATTGCAAATACAATATGTTTATCATAATAGAATCTACTGATTTTGTCTTTCCACAATCCTAACCAAACTTGGTTAAAGATCTGTAGCATTCTCTCGCTGTGGTCACAAACACATCCTATCACCGTATGCAAGCGTTCTTTGATCCAAAATGAGCTTTAATTTAACTGAACTTTCTTTTACCAATAAAATGTCCAGCTCCTTGACCATTGGTTTTATACAAGGAAAGCCTCAAGCTCGCTCAGACCAAGCACCAGGACAAAACTCGACACTATTACAATATGTTTATGACCTACGGTTTCTTCCTTTCCATGATGAACCAGGCCGCGATAATTTGGGTACTTGTTCCTTACTCTGCAGTTTCACGAGAGCATTAGGGAAAAGTAGCAATAGAGCAGGATAGCTTATGCACAACATAAATGCACAACCTTTACCTTGTTTACCAGTCTTGGTTTTAGTTGTTTTTTCAGAATAAGGTTACGAGCTTGTTTCTTCTTTTCTTCTGCCTTCAATTTGGAGAGACTGGGCTTGAATATAATCACCGTTCGACCGATCTGACCGACAGCCACTGAACCGGTTGCTTCTTCCAACTGCTTCACCACATCATCTAACTCGCCTGGACAGCTCCTATGTATTTTAATCTGTAAATACCATCCAGATTGAAAATCAGGATCCAAGATTTTGAAAAACTTAAAACTTTTGCATTTTACTAGTTACAAAGCAAGAGGGGAAACAGAAGATGAACACAATCGTAGACACATTATGTGGGCTAAAAGATGACTCACTACAGTCTCAAGCCTACAACAGCCTAATTTGCTGACTAAGTCAAGATAAAATCCACCCAGACATCAGTGAATCTCGCATTTTGTTTTCTAGGCATGCAAAGTAAATCAACCCCCCCCCCCAGCCACCAGATACTTGGACCAATTTAAGTAAAACATTGAAGTTTATGAAAATCATTCAAGTAACAATCAGCCAAGCAGATCCTAAAGAAGCTGTGCAAAATTACAAAGGCGTAATCAGCAATAACTTACAAGCAAGAACAACTCAACTACTACCATCAACAACTGGTTCAAAAGTCCAACCGTCCTAAATCACAACATAAAAGCATGTACAATAAAGCTACATTGAGAAACAGTGAACCAATTAAGCAAGAAATCGAAGAGAAAAAATCTGACAAAATGTCTGGAAACATGCCAAATTATAAAAACACCAACCAAACTTACACTGGCCAAGGAAAAAAGAAGCAGTAAACAAACAAGTTCCTTTTTCCAAGTATTAGCAAAATTCATCAAACACAAACAACAACCACAGCAAAACCGATATTTTTTTTTTTTTCAGAACACAATACGCGGAAACATTATGAACAGTGGAAGATAAAAATTGAGGTAATTGATTGGTACCTTGAGAAGCTCGTTGGCTTCAAGGGTCTCAATGAAAGAAGTGGCAACGTTGGAGGTAACTCCAGACTTACCCACCAACTGGGTCTTGAGTTTATCCCCCAAACTGTGAGCATAAGACGCAAGCTCTTTCCTTTCTTTCACAGTGAGACTCGGCACCTCCAGCTTCAGCCTCTCCTCCCTCTTTCTCTCCAACGGCGACAAACTTGAATCCAATTGGGTATCTTCAAAATCTCCCCTTGGGGTTTCCAATTCATCATCCACAATCTCTGTTACTTCGCCACCTTGAGAAACAACAAGGGAAGAGGAAGAGGAAGAGGTGGAGAAGAGAGATTTTCGAAGCGGTGGAACGTGGATGTGTCGAATGGGTGTATTGGCAGAGGAAAAGAAAAGGGGTTTGAGAAAGGAAAAGAAAGAAGAAGAAGGCGATGGTTGTGAACGAAGAACAAGCATTAGATGAGAGGATGCCACTGCCGCCATTTCAGTTTGGATGAACTATTGAAACAAATGTCTATTGATTTGGATTTTGTACACAAATGGAAATATAGTACACCAGAAAATACAATTTTTATAAAAACTCTGAATTTATTGTTCACAAAATGGGTGTTTGGTCTAGAGGTATGATTCTCGCTTCGGGTGCGAGAGGTCGCGAGTTCGATTCTCGCAACACCCCAATGTTTTTATTAATTATTATTTTACATTTTATCATAAATCTCACTAAACCACTCACACCTTTTAATTATATTTTAGTCATTTCTTTTATTATTTTATTTCAAAATTAATAAAGATGTGGTATGTGTCTTTTTTCCTAGCCTCCTTTTATCATTTATTTCACTAAACCACTCTCACCTTTTAATTATATACTATCATTTATTTTAAAAATTGTGTTTATTTTTAACAATTTACTCTCTTTATGTTTTTTTGGTAGAGAAAATAGTTTTGATCAAAGAAAATTTACGCCTCTTCTGAATATTTTTCGAATGAGTTATTTAATTTGACAATCCAATTTTTTTAAGGATCGTTTTTGTTTTTTGTTCAGTTTGATCTATCAAATTGAATCAAATCAACCTATTTATATTTCTTTACTTTTATAATAATAATAATAATGTGTCAAATACATCTAATAGACTTCGGGATAACACTTTAAAGTCCATCTAAGGCCAAGTCAAATTTTTCGAACCTAATATTTGAAAGTCCGACTAGGCCATCGACTAGAGCCAAATTTACCAGCTCTACTTGCATAGCTTAGGAACAGCACCGACTCCGACAAAGTCTCAAGGATTTATTGTTGAATTCACATATTATCTGCTAGCGAAGAAATTCTAAATCTAATAATTGCATCTAAGTCACAACTGGGTATGAGCAGAATACTCAATTAATTACATGTTCACATTTTATGATTATGCTTAAAATTTTTAGTTTAGTTTCAAGAAAAAATAAATTATATACGATATAGCTTAAAGAAGTAACAAACATGAATTTAATTATCAAACGAACTTAAAGATTAAAAAAATATAAGAGGGAGAGTAATGCACTTCAGAAAAATACTTTAAAACGAAGGAAAGCAAATTTCTCCTAGATGAAAAAATAAAATAATATAAAGAATCAGTCGCAACCCCCTACATGTTAGGATATATGAGGATTTATTTTTCTATTGTATGAAGAAAAAAAAATCTAAGTCACCAAATACCCTTAATTAAGTCTTCTAATTTTTCTTTTGATTTTAGACGTCACTAGTAGTTAAATCGCAGCCACCCTGGACAAGCGCCAGAATTTGGATCGGGTAATTTCGGTGTCAAAGAAATCATCTTCCCCTTCTGAAGTACATTGATGCAAAGTATTAGCCATCTACAAATTTAATATAATCCCAAGCTCAACAATAAGAGTTAATTAACGCTTAAACAATATCAAAAGATTAAATCTTTCCACCCTTCAAGATACCTCTAACGTAACAAGAATATTAATCACTATTATTAACGATAAATATTCCAGAGAAAAACTAAAAAAAATAAATCTACAAATTTAATATTTAGTATTAAATATATACTTATTTTATCAATGGTAACCAACCAATATCCATCGGAAAATTAGACTATATATTATAACATCTTTTCCAATTAAGTTTTTTAATCTATAATAATAGAATTACTAGAATCAAAGAAATTTCGTAACTAGATTTTCACTCGAACCAACGAATTTGGTAGCTGGATTTGCCACTAATATCTCAAGTATTCACGCTACATGCAATTTTCATTAACTTGACAGTTGCTACCCAAGAGAGAGACATTAACATGAACGTAAAAAAGATACTACATGGGTCCAATAGTTGAGGACAAACAAGCTCAACTTTCCAAACGGCCATGTTCAGAAGCTGAATCCGACCAACTTTGCACCATTTCAGTCCCACCTCCGATAGAGCAAAACACCCCTTTGACTCGACATTAATTCTTATTACTTCAAAATGGCAAAAATCTTTTGACCCAACAAGCACAATCTTAAAAGTACTTGGCAGTGACCTTTTGACTTTGGATTATAATGTATATGCTATACATATCTCCAGGCGCTGACTAAAGCTCAACGATGCCAGATATCACAAACTAGTATCAGGAATTTCGAAATTTGGCAGAGACAAACAGCGACATAACTAGAAATGGAAACAAAAACGACATGACACATTTAATTAATATTCCCTGACCTTAAAAACAAAGTTAAGCTTTCCTAGGGTACAAGCTATAAAGGCCTACATACATACAAATTAAACACAAGGATCAGAATACCAACAATAATATAATATGCATAGACTGAACTGAACCATCCCCAAAAGGGACTTGAGAGTTGAGCCTCCATCCACAAGAAAGGTGGACCCCACCACACAACCTGGATCGTAGGATCAAGTGGCCAGGCTCCACCCAACCTAGTTGTGGATCCATTTGGCATACATACACCAACGTTCATAAACAAGTTTACAATGTCACAAGCACTACATTACCTAAATGGCTTAACAGAAATAAAACATGCTATAACTAATATAAAGAAACGAAACCATCATCGAGGAATGAGGATTAGAAGCTATGTCACCAACACACACACCCCTTGCATTTCAAACATGTTTACGCCTTAAAAGTTTCCCCACAGTCCTTTGGTTTCCCTTGATTACACCATCTCGCGGTGGACTAAAGCACACTGGCAGAACATCCTCACACTCGCAGGGAAAGTTCATGGTTTCGAAGTGTTGCTCCAATTTCTCTTTTCCCTATATTATCAAATGATAAACATTAACATACAATTATTCAACAAAGCGCAACTTTAAAGTTTATACACGAACATGGTACAAAATATATATCTAATTCTATACTAGTAATAAATATCCTTCTTAATATCCATAAGAGACTGATTATGAGACATGCCCTGTCAATTATGAAAAGTATAATGACGTTATAAATTAATCCACTTGACACTCAAAATAACTTTTCTTTATGATCTCTCAAAGTTAAAACTTAAGAATTTGTTATCTAGGTCTCTACGCAAAAGATACTCCAATTTCGCCATATCGGGACTAGTTTAAAAAAGTTCTTTACAACCAGCCATTAAAATGCAAGGTTGTATCTAATATAATAAAATTTATTAAACTAAACAATATAAATAGTGATGGTTTGATAAAAAAGAATAATGATTAAGACTATTCTATGTCTATATGTGACCATACCTGTAAACGTGCAGAAACCACTTCACGTATCTTGTGGGACTGGAACAAGTCCCATTTCATATTGGAGGCTGTCAAAAGAAACTTCCAAGCTGCCTGGGGTTTGGTGAAGTTCACAAACGCGTAACCCTTGTTCAACCCACTTCTGCAAAAAATCATAATCACCACTGTAAACACCAATACACACACAAAAAAAAAAACAACTAAATACAAAGAATGTGACGTACTTGAAATCAATAGGCAAGTAAACAAAATCAAACGCCAAAGCACTTGGTTCTTCCCCTTTCTCCTTGCTAGCCTCTTTGTCTCGTAAATTCACTTGCAAACAATGATTGTCAAGGAAGTCCACCAGCATATTTCGTCTGTGTCAGACACAGAGACCCAGAAAAAAAAAAAGATTTTTAAATAAACTATGAGCAAGACTTTACAAATTCCCAAGCAGTTAAACAGTCACAAGCTTCAAAGGAATAAGGGCATCAGAAAGAAATAAGGAACAAAAACAATAAATATTATTCTTTCCGTAATTTATAATTATCAAGTGAACAAGATTACAATTTGGTAAATAAAAAAAAATCCCTCTAAAAAAAACTAAATTCTTTTAAGTTATTTAAAAAGCTATTTCATTTATACTTCATGTATTTTCTTCTGTGAATTAAGAAAAATTCATCCGTTATCTTTTAAATGTTATTAATATATAGAATATAATATAGAACATCTACCGAACTAATTTTTGGTCGAGAAAACATGCCATCTTCAATGAAATTATCTCCTCACTGGGATCCCAGTTTAATTTTCATACTTGAACCGAAAACATGCCCTAGTCCAGTGATGATAACATACTTTAACACCGTTTCAACATAAAAAAGACACTAAAGGAGAATGTGAAGGGGCGTTTGGTGTTAAGACAAAAGATTACATACGTGTATTTGCTGGGAATGTTTCTGATCATGACAGTGGTGTCGCCTCCATCAACCTTAACAGGCAACAAAGGGTAACAACATTTCTTTCTAGGAAAAGCCCTGAAGCACTGTTTATCATATGATCGGTTCCTCAAACACTCACTCTTCCTGCTTTGACCATTCCCCTCTCCCTTCTCTCTCCGCGCATAACCCTTCAGCCTCAAACCTTCAGAACGCGTGGTGTCACACCTTATGAAGGCCTTAAACACTTTCGATTTCGGGGCTTCCTCTTTACCATTCTGCTGCACTGCATGAGCCTCCGCGGGTGGTAACAGATGGTGGGTGGTGGAAGGTGGTGGAAGTGGAAGCGTTGTGGTGGGGTAGAAGAGAGGGTGAAGCTCTCGTGAGAAGAACAAGTAGTAGAAGTGGAGAGGGGTGAGGTTGGGGTGAAGCTTGTGGTGTTGATGGGTTGGGAAAAACTCTTGAGCTTTTGGGTTTAGAGAAGGCATGGTTGGAGAAGAGTGGGATAGTGTAAGAGAGAAGAGAAATAATAGAAATGGAAGTGTGTGAGGAGAATGAATGAAGATGATGCTCAAAACTGAAGGATCGGTGATGATTATATGGGTTTCCCGATGAGAAAGAAAAAATAGCAAAGTGACTGTTTACGAGTGAGTGTGCTAGATAGACTTGGATGGACGTTCAATCACATTATTGCTCCTCTTTTTATTCACCAATTATAATTACCTTTAAATATATTTTTTATTTATTATAATTTATACATATTATAAAAGAGATATATTTTTTTTAGTAATTATTTTTTTAGTCATTACTTTTTATAAGTAAGGGATTATATTTTTTAAATATAAAAAAATCTTATATTTTTTTTAATCTGTACATCTATACATAATATAAAATAGATATATTTTGGTAATTATTCCTTTGATATTTATTTTTTAGTGAATGATTATACTCTTTGAATATAAAAAATATATATTTTTATATTTTTTTCAAATAACTATCCATATTTGTCTATGTGTAATTATTAGATGCACTAAGTGTTTCGTCCCCTCTAGTTTATTATAATATGAATAAATTTTATTTAGTTTAAATATGTTTCAAATGGATGTAAAGTATACGAATTTTTATTTTTTATCTTTGAAAAAATATTTTTTTTTCCTATAACTTATAAAGATTAATTTTAGTCATTGTATAAATATTTTTATCTTTGTAAAATAGTAAATTTTGATTTTAGTTTTTATAAAATATATTTTTATTTAATCTTTTAAAATATAAAATTATTATTTTAATTTTTAATAAATAAATAATATTTATTTTAAATATTTAAAAAAATTACAAAATATTATTGGAAATTATAAATAATACTTAAAATGATCAATTAAATAATTAATTAATTAAAATAATTATATAATAATAAAAACTAAAAATAATAATTATAAATTTTATAAAGATGAAAAACAAAAAAAAATTACAAAAAATAACATCAAAACTTGTTAATTTTACAAGAATTAACAATATATTTAAACTATTTTATTCTAATCTTATAATTTAAAAACATGTATTTTAAATTTCATGTTCAAATATTTTAATAAATTTATGAAATAAAAATTATATGTTATTAAATTGATGGTAAAAAAATTATTTACTAGTATTTTTATTAATAAAAAATATCATGTTAAATTGAGATAATATTAAAGTTGCATTATATTATGCTATTAGTGATTGTGAAAGGTTAAAATAACATTTTTGAAATTAAAATAAAATAAAAATGTCAATTTTAGATTTGAGAGATAAAACTAATTTAACATAAATTGAAATATTATAAATATACTTAAGCATTTTTAATGTATGAAATTATCTATTAACTTTGAATAATTGATTAGGAAAAAAAATAGTCGCATTCTCTTCGATATTTTTTTATTAGTTAAAATATATTAAGAATTATAAATTTTCGTCTGATTTAACATTAAATTAAAAAATATTATTAAATAAAAAATAAAATTTAAGAAAAATTATGAAATTTAATAAAATTAAACAACAATAAATTATTAAAAAAATATAACTGCCATTTCTTATTAGAGGAATTTCTAGTGTGAATTCTAACTTTGTGTTCTTACAATTTTAATTGTATTTAAAAATCTCTAATATATACTGAATTTTTATTTTTATTTTTTTAGTTACTAACAACTTGTTCGTAAAATTTTATTTAAATATATGTATTACTTTTAGAATAATATATTTATTGAATTTTGACCAACTTAATTTGTTCCTGAGTTAGTGTGATGATAAAAAGAACTTTAAAAAATAATTTGGTCATGCGTTTAATTTTAAAGAACAAATTTAATGACAAGAACCCTCAATAATTAAAATTGAGACAGTAAAACATTTAAAAGGCAAAATTCCTATAAACAAAAACAATAGAGTGATACAAATAAATCTAAGAGATGAAATCAAAGGTTTCTTATTGTTAATAATCAATGTGTTTTTTTTTATGTATACTTATATTTATACTCAATTAAATATTTTTAAGCAATTTCATAAATTAAATAATAAATAACCTATATTTTGATTATTTTCTATAATAAATGAGTTTGAACAAAGTATATGTTTTTCATTCTTCATAAGCACATATCTGAATACATGATTTATTTAATATTTTTTACTTTGCAATGTGATGCTCGTGGACATAATTCAAGAGTAAATGTTTATAAAAATTAAATAAGCTTTTAGTCCGGAATGTTGGTCGATGTTTATTTTTTATCAAAATAAATTTATTTAGTTTTATTTTCTAAATATTTTTTTGTAAACAAAAAACCTTGACACCATAATTAAACATGTTAGCGAAAATAGTTCACAACTAAAAATAAATAAAATGACAAAAAATTAAAATTAAAACTAATAAAAAAATTATTTAGAGAATAAAAATGAAAATCAAACATAGTTTAAAGGTTACAAACATATTTAACCTATATTTTTATAATATAAAATATTTAATTTTTTTTATTTATGAAAATTAACACAACGGACTCACATTAGAATATACCATTGATCAATTATTAAAATATAATAAAAATGCTTATAACACTATTTTACTCCCACTAAATAATTAAGGTGTAGTTAATGAGGAAGAGAGCTTGGCAAATGTATGAGAATTTTATAAAACGTTTATTGACAGTAAAATTTATATCATAAATACATCTTAGTTAAATCTCAAATCTCAAGGGTGTGATTCAGCCGTAGGGGTTGATCCACGCTTGAGCAAGGTTAGGGATTCGAATTCTGCCTTGTGTATGCAGCCGCGTTAAATCTTAGGGCTAGCTATCCCACCTTTTGAGGTGTCTCCAATGTAGCGAGGAGATTAATCACTGCTATCGACAATGGATACTTTAGAGAAGAACAAAAAAAAAATACATCTTACTTAGAGTTTTTTCTCTAGTTTTAATTATTTCAAATTAATGTTAACAAAACCAATTATGTTTTATGGAGTTAAGAAATGAAAATATAAAGTTTATTAAAGGGAAATATTTACGTTGTTAAAAACATTATAATCATTAAATGCTTACTCAAAAGCAAAATAAAATATTTAATAAATTATATTTAATATTTCTTATCATGTAATCATGAATGTGTATTAAAAATAATCGATTAAATAAGAAAATAATTGTTAACTAATCAAAGGATGGAACACCTAAAATTAAAATGAGAAAATATAAGAGATAAATAATTGATATTATAATAATTTAGTGAAATAAAAATAAAAGATAAATAGAGGATAGTACTAGTTAAGAAATAATGATACATAAATACATTTTATAATTTTTTATCTATCAAAATATAATTAAAAAACTAATATTTAAATATTATATATATTATAAACTTTTTCTTTCACAATTAAATTAGATCTCTATTTAGGGAAATTCTTTAAATTATTTAAAAAAAAATTGAAATTTTTTGACTCCTAAAATCTCTCAATATCACACCTCAAAACATCAAAATATATAATTATTTTTGACTGATAATGATTAACAAAAACTTACGATGTTATCCAAACACATTTTTTACATTAATCCTAATATTTTTCCTTCATAATTCATTCTAATTCGATTCATTAGTTATTTTTTTTAATATAAAAACTATTTATATTAATAATTTATTATTGTTATAAAAATTGATCAATTATATTTAATAACAATCAATTAGTTATACATACTGTGTTTTATATTTTTAAAACAATATAAAATAATTTTTATAAATAATAAAAGTTATAATATGAAAATTAAGTGATATATATATATATATATAGTTAGTTAGTTAGTTAAGAGCAAAACCGTCTTAAAAAAAATAATAATTAGAGATGGTTACAATTTGCAAAATAAATAAGTAATTATATAGAATAGACAATATTTTTAATATACATTTTTTTTTGTTTTATCGTTAAAATATATATTGACGGAAATTTATACACTCTTTTCTTTTATTTTAATTTTCTTTTCCGTCAATATATATTTTATAATTTATTTTAAAAACCTAATTTAAAAAAAATTCTAAACACACTAATAACTACTAATAAAAAGGATTGGTTGTTTTAATGTTGACAATTTTTTTAACTCTTTTACTCTTTACCTAATATTTATAATCATTTCATTATTAAATAATGAATTGTATATGCTGATTATATTATTTATTTTTATTTATTTGTACTTTTTAAAACAATAACAAGGCACAAAGTACAATATCAAATTTAGGATAAGAATTATGGGACAGTTGTCTCTGCTAGCATTTTACAATCTTACAAAATATGCATATAATGTAAATATTAATCCTCGTATATAACATAAAGTTTTGTCCTTCACTTAGTCTCTGTTTGTTTTTAGGTGATTTATTGTTCACGATGAATGAAAGGTGAAGAAATTTTACGTTTGTTTTCGCTGATTTGTACCGGAAAAAAAAAGCGAAGAAAAGCGGGAGAATCCGCATGGCCGTTCCTTGCAAAGTTATGAAGAAAAAAGATGAAAGTCACGTAAGAAATGAAAAAACCTGATAATACTCCAGCAGCATAATCGATTATGCATGGCACATAATCGATTATGGTGGCATATTTTTGCTTCCAGTCATGTAACGTAGTTAGTAGCCCAGAACGAGCCGTTCTAAAATTGGAACGAGTCGTTCCAAGCTACTAAAATAAGGGTAATTTAGTAGCCTAGAACGGGTCGTTCCCAAACTGAAACGGGTCGTTCCAAACTACTAAATTGGCTTAAAAACCCTAGTTGAAAACGAGTCATTCCAAATTGGCTGTTATGTGTAAAAATGCAAAAATATGTTATCTTATTTTCTTTTTTATTATTGTAATTTAAATATGTTTTATTTAGTTGCAACATTTTTCATTTCTATTATTTTATGTTATATTTAATTATTATTTACTTAATTGATGACTGAATTGTATTTTCTGTTTCATTTTACAAATATGTTATTACCCATTTACATTGTAATATTAAAAATTTCTTAATTTTTTAATTGGTAAAAATTAACTTGTACTGTGAGACCCCTTTCTATTCCTTTTTTTCTTTC